GACCCTGGACACCCTGGAGACTCTTCCCAAGCGCCAGCATTCAAACCATGCTTTTTACCGCCCCAGAGAACACTCTCGCTGCCACCCTCCTAGAAACGGTAAATCTTAGCTAACTTGATTGTCCCTGGCTATGGCAGTGCCTTAGAAGGACACAGACCATTCCCGAGGCAGATACAATGATAGTCACGAGAGTCACAATGGAGGTAAAATAAAGAACAAACCTAAAATCCAGGCCTGAGCTCTGTATACCAGCAGAGGGAAGAAGTGACAGGATGCCAACAAGAAGGTCATAGAATCCCAAAGTCAAAGGGCCCTTTGAGTCCATCCCCTCTCCCAAGGCATGAAATCTACCTCTAATGTCCCTGACATGCTCGCCTGGCTTGCATTCCCACGAACAGGAATACCCAGACCCCATGTGGCTGCCCATTCCAGCATCTTCCCTCGCATGGAGCGGGTCTCTCTTATGGTGCTTGGATTCTGGTTCTGGTTTGATCCCCTGAGCCTCGTGTGTTGAGCTGCAGAAGCCAAAAATCATGTCCCTCTTGAGACTTCTCTTCCTTTCCCATGTGACTTCACATTCTAGATTTTGGACATCTTGGCTACCCACCACTGTATGAGCTCCTGATCTAGAATTTGATGCTCTGGACACATACGTTTAGTAACTCAGCAGACTTCAGTACATATTGGCCAATGGTTAATGGGGGCACACATTCCTGGGTTCAAGTCCTGGCTCCACCCCATAGTAAGTTCCTTAACCTCTCTGAGCTTCCATTTCTGAACTCCTCCATAAAAACAGAACTAAGAACCACTTTACAGAGGATTAAGTGATGTGGAGCATGTAAAGGACCTCACATGGTGCCTGGCATATGGTAAATGCTCCAAATTTTGGCAGCCACATTGGGCTGATAGATGATTCATGCTGCATCTGTACTCAACTAAAAGCCAAGGTCTTTTCCACACACACTGTTAACATTTATCCCTATAAAACATCATTTTGTCAGTCCCAGGCTATTGTCTCATCCTATCAGCATTGCTTCTGTCATCATTCACTAGTTGGCCCATCCAGCTTTGAGTCATCTGCAGATCTGATAATGTGTCTTTTAGATTTTCACTTGGGCCCTCTCTCTAGTCCACTGCCAGCACGTTGCTCAAGATTCTTTAGGTTCAGCTGTTGGGCCAGCACTCAGGTTACTCAACTGTGCTATCATCGAGCCCACATTGGCTCCTTTGATTGAGAATTTTTTTCCCTTGGAAATTGTGAAGGCTCCAAAGAAAAAGTTAATTTGTATTCAACAACTTCCGTTTAAAAGGCTGGGGAAATTATAAAGCCTTCTAGAAAGACGTCAATCAAAAAGTGGTCAACATAAAGTTTGGGCACCCGGTGGGGTAAATTTCATTTATTTAGAACATTCCCTCTTGGGGAATTGGGTGAATCCTCCGCAGTGCCAGAAAACGAGGTATTACCACATGGCTGTTCTGTGTTTTTCCATTTGGTTTGTGCCTTCTCTCTTTTAGAATAGACACTTCTCAAGGTCAGGAGTCTATCATTTTGTATCTCTTTTCAGCAAGACAGAGAGGAAGTCTAACCTTTTTTTTTTTTTTAAAGATTTTATTTATTTATTTGACAGAGAGAGACACAGCGAGAGAGGGAACACAAGCAGGGGGAGTGGGAGAGGGAGAAGCAGGCTTCCTGCTGAGCGGGGAGCCCGATGCGGGACTCGATCCCAGGACCCCGGGATCATGACCTGAGCCGAAGGCAGACGCTTAACGACTGAGCCACCCAGGCGCCCGGAAGTCTAAGCTTTGCACACAACAAACTCTTAACACCTGCTGACCGTCAAGTCATCACCATAAAAATGAACCATTTGTATGCATATATCCAAGCCAACGGTGGGAAACTGAGAAGCATTATTGTGAGTCTCAAGAGGGCAGAAATTACGTGTTTCATTTTTGTCGCCTTCAGGGTCCCTATAATGTCCCAGATGGCCCATGGTAGATATAGAACTCAGGAAATATTTTTCTGAATGTTGAATGAGTAACACAAGGGACAAAAGCCATGGTTCCCGAGTCACACCGATCCTACCCACATACCTTCCTTCAAAGTAGAGAGCACACTATTGCACACCGTCCGGAAACCCTGCAACCAAAAAGCCTTCACTTAGGGCCAGCACAAGGATGGAGGCCATAGACACCACAAATCCTAGGGGCTGCAAATCTTTGTGAAGAGAGGACATGTCCACAGAAAGTTTCTATCAGGTATATCTGATGTACCACTGAAAGGCTAAAGACATCAGATCGGCTCCAAGGGAAGGGAGCAAGACTTTGAGCTAAGGTCTTCGGAAAGGCTTCACTGCAGAGGGTAATTGGACAGGATTTTAAAGGTGGAGGGAAGTGGAGAGAACTTTGAGTCAAGGGAATGCTAGGCAAGCACCAGGTGGGTTTGGGGAGTGACAAGTAGATGATTTGTCTGCACAGGGGGCTCCTGCAGACCCCCAGCCCGCCTTTTCCTGGGGAGCCCTGGCACATGCTGGTGCAGGGGTGTGGCTAGTGGTGGTGGAATAGGTCTCCATCTGCAGAGTTGAGTGGCTCACAAAGGGGCATAAGCCATGTCCTCTACTTATCAGCATTTTCCTCTACTCTGAGTTTAAAAAAGCCACTAAACAGACTATCTTTGGCTGAAGCTGCTTCCTATAGCCCAGCTGTTAAATATATCATTGCCAGGCACTGCTACTTTATCAGACAGATGGTGTAGGAGTTTTCACTTCAAATGATAAGACTTGCCCTCTGGCTCCTCCAGGGCTTTCCATCTCCAGCCCCAGCAATAACAATGCCTAATCCTTCACCGGACAGTCTTCCTGTTCTCCTCACAAAGTCATGTTACCCCACAAACCACTGACTCAAGAGATGCCTTCTAGGTCTGGCCTGCCTGGCTGTGCAGAGGGGCGGGCCCTTGGATGAACGGTTGCCTAGCAACATCTCTAACCATGCAGAGGTGCTGATTGGGCCACCCCTCTGGAGGATTCCTGCTGCAGGCAGCCCTTGGAGAAATAGGGACATCATCTCCTTCACGGCTAAGGCATGCTGTCGGCTTTTGGGTTGACCCAAAGTGAAACACAAAGATAGAAATCTTTTAATTAATAGTTAGCTCACGTTAAATGTTAGTTAAGATTCAATTCTTTCTATAATGTTATTTTTTTTCCCTCTGCCCTCTATTTTCACCCCCTGACTCATGGGCTTCTGGTTTCTCACTTTTAAAGAAAAACGTGCAGAGGTGCCTGGGTGGCTCAGTCACTAAGCTCCTGCTTTCGGCTCAGGTCATGATCCAGGGTCCTGGGATCGAGCCCCGCATCGGGCTCCCTGCTCCACGGCAAGCCTGCTTCTCCCTCTCCCACTCCCCCTGCTTGTGTTCCTGCTCTTGCTGTGTCTCTCTGTCAAATAAATAAATAAAATCTTAAAAAAATAAAAAAAAAAATAGAAATGTGCAGAATAAGTTTAAATGCTTTTCTTAAGAAAAGTTGTGTTTAAGGTTGGTGGTTCTTTTAGTCAGGCACACAGACCAAACTACCTATTCTTGTGTCCACAAAAGAAGGGGACACTTTGGAGCAACTGCCTGGTGATGCAGGTCACGGGCTAGCTTTTATGTGGGTCTCCAGGATATTGGTGGTGTACCCATCTCCAAGAATAAAAGCACTGCTGATGGTTTGGGGGATCCCATCCTTTATGGAATGACTGAGGCTGCTCCAGCTACTCATTGCCACCAACCCTCCCGTCCCAAAACAAATACAATACAGAATAAAACCACAGCAACAAAAAACACAACGAAAACCAAAAACCCAAATGTCCCAAACACAAACAAACAAACTGGCTAGTTGAGTCCATCTGGTAGAATAGCAAGCAAGAATATAGACTTTGAAATCTAACAGATATGAGTTTGAATCCAGTTCTGCTACTTCCTACCTTGTGATTTTGAGCCAGTTTCTTAACTCTCTGAGCCTCTTTCCTCATCTGTAGAGTGGAAATATCAACACCCACCTTGTAGAGATCCCCGGGGTATTACATAACTGGTAGAGTACTTCCAGTATGGTGCCTGATTTCTAATAGGCCTGCAAACATCAGTTCCCTTTTGTCTTTCTTCTGTGCCTCTGTCCTTAGTCTCTACCATTCAATCTTTATCAGAAACTCTAAGCAGAGACCAGGTGCTATAACGACAGTCTAAACAGAACCAGGTGTTAATGAATGAGGACCATCTTTCATCTTGCTTCTGGGTTCTGGTTGTGCTTTTCTTCTTTCCTGTTTGTGGCTGATTTAAGTGTTTGCCCTGAAATCTGACCACAGCCTGGGCTTGATAATTGACAATTTCTGGTTGAGCTTTTAAGGATGCCATAGAGAGAGAGAGAGAGTGGACAGAGAGGGCAGGTTCTAGGTAGATAGAGGTCAGGAAAGAATATGCAGTAATCCTGAGTTGGGGAAGAAGGAATAGAATTTTTTTTTTTTTTTTTTTTTTTTAGGCGAAGTGGATGAAAACATTGTCAGGACTCAGGAAAACATGATGAGTCTCTCTGTCAACACACATTTATTGAGCACCTACTATACACGGACTCAGGTTTATAATGAGATTCCAAAGACCTGGGAAACCCGATTCCTACCTTTGATTCCTGCCTTATAGTTTAAGTGGATATACAAAAGCCTGAGAAACGTCAACAGCAGGTTGCTTACAGGTGCCAATCAACCAGTGCCTAGAGGGTTTCAGACTGAAGGAGCAATTGGATGTGATCAGTCAAGTAAGGCTTCCTGAAAGAGGCAGTTCGAGGGAAAAGAGGGTCATGGGAGAGGAACTCAGGGTCTGGAATAGCAGGTGCATAGGCTTAGTGCTAAGAGGTTGTTCCAGAGGGTGAAGAAAGCCCCCTCCTCAAGTGCTTTGGGGCTCTCCCTTCACCTTGAGCCCCCTTCACTGGCCCAGGAGGGACCCGACCAGGGAGCTGGGCCACAAATGGTCTAACCTCGCTGGATCGGAGCACTCCGAAGAACGGGTACAGGAAGGCAGGCACCAGGGCTGCAGCTCCAAGAGGCACGGCCTCAGACACCCAGTACACAGCGGTCACAATCAACACGTAAGCACATGCAGCCTCCTGTAAGGGGAGGAAAGTGGGCGGTTAGTCACAGGGACAGCCACTGCTGCAGAGAATCCAAATGAGACCCGGGGTGGAGGCAGTAGGCACCCAGACTCACGGGCCCGAGGACACAGCCCTGGGAGGTGCAAAGCTGGCCTTGGCAGGGGAACTTGGTGGATGCCTGGCGGGACCCATACTTGGGTGTGTGCAGTAATGTCTGCTTCTTGGGTGGACTGGCGCGTGGCACGTGGTCTGCAGCTGCGTAGCCACCAGACTTAGGTGGTGCTTGAAACTGTGCAGGATGGGGACTGAAATACTCAGTGTCCAGACCCAAGATCACAGCCTCTAAAGGTGGAGTTCACAGCTTTAACATGGAGGCAGAATATTTTGGTGTTGAGTTGATTGGACACTAGATATTCTTGGGGTAGTTGCAAGTTGGGATCTGTTTGTGTAACTGATTCACGTGTGAGCTCAGAGACTGGCCCATTTTGGGGCTGGATAATTCCATGCTGTGGGGGGCTGTCCTGTGCATTAAGAGGTTTATCAGCATGCCTGGACTCCACCCACTAGATGTCATTAGCACCTCCCAATTGTGACAACCACAAATGTCTTTAGACATTGCTAAATGTCCCTTGGGGGGAAATTTGTCCCTGGTTGAGAACCCGTGTCCTTACCAGTGTCTGGTTCTCACTGCTCTGGGACTTCATTCCCCCTGCCTGATGCACATGGAAACGTCCCTCTGATAAAGAGAATAAAAAGTGCTATCTACTTGCAGGAGAAGGCCTGGAGCCCTCACTTTGCTGGCTGTACAACCTTGGGGTGCATAGAATAAAAAAGCACAACACTGTTATCAACAACCAGCCCTCTTTAACCTCAGCCTCTAGTAATGCTGGTTACTTGGAGTCATGCTCATCAATGGTGCCGAGAAAGGTCACTGGCTTACTCTTGGGAGGGGTCGCCGTCCAAGGACCTTAACAATGGACTTGGAGGGCCGCTGTAGAGAAAGTCCAAGCTGGCTCTGGTTTCCTCAATTTATACTTAGTTCTAAACCATCTGGGCTCAGGTCTGACCTGCCCTGAGGCTGGCTGGTGATCAAGGAGCCTGACAAATCTTGTTCTGTTTATCTCTCCCTTGGGTTCAGAACACGCGTACTCAAACTCTTGCACAAAAGTTACAAAAGGTCGCCATGATCAGTGAGGGGCGTCAGGAGTGATTAACCCAGCCTGGCTGGATAGGACCTTGCTCCCTCCTGATATGCATGGATTATTGCCTTGGGGTTTGAGAAATGGCAACAGGGCCCAATGATTGTTGACTGTAGCTCCCACTGAGATTTCCTCTGGGGCCAAAAGATGAGAGAGAAGTTAAAACTTTTGGAAGTTGCTGATAAGACAACATAATCAGTAAGGGGGAAGAAAAAGGCTCTATTGGAAAATAATGCAATTTAGAGAAATAACCTCCTTCGTTGCAGAAATAAAACGACTTAAAGAAGTTCAAAGCCTTGAGCCCCCTTGAACTCACTTATTCCTATCTCTTTCCTGGGAAACAGAACGGCAGGTCTTAACTCCAGCTGAAGATAAAGGAGACAGGACATCTGTCCCTCCCTGAGCGCCCTTATTCCTTCCTGAGAACCTTTAGTCTTTCTTGTCATTACAGGGCCACAAATTAAGGTGGGGGGAAGGGGCCACAAGGTAAGGGAGAGGGGAAGGGGCGACAGACCAAGAGAAAGAATGAGAGAGAGAAAGATGGAGAACAAACTTTCTCCCAGGCACCATCTTAGTTTGAATTAGGAGGACTTGGGTAAGCCAAGGTACACTTTTTGATTGTAATTATTGTTACGAATTAGAATAGGTTGGCTTGGAGGAAGTCAGCAAGCCACCTTCATCCAGCATTAAGAACAGGATAAACCACCATCATCATTTTTACCTGGACTTTCCTTAGAGCACAAGAATGGCCAAGAGACCACCTCCAGAGGCCCTTTCCATATTTCTCACCCAGTTCATCCATGGAATTTACATAAACTTCCTTTTGCTCCTTCTGAACCTTCTCAAAATTCAATGGGTAAGCTTATATTTAGATAACCCTTGAAAATCTTTGTGAGGGTTGATCACAGGAATCCTGAGGTCCCACATCTGGTCAGTGTCTGGCAGTTAACATTGGTTGAACTGAATTGGGTTCCTCTGCTGGCTGTCGGGTTTCTCTATCTATTGGAGAGAATAGTCTGGAAACTCTTGACCTCTTATCACTGCCACACTAGTCAGCAGGTGTGTAGGGGCCAATGAGTATTCAGGCAGCGCCTTTAAAGGACAGTGTTTTCAGTTCTTTTTGGCTTCTGTTTACAAATAAAGGAGGGAGCTCAAAAGTGGCATTCCCCATATAGGATATTTCCTGACTCTGCTACCAACTGATGTGTAAATCTGTTCCTTTCCCGTGCTGTCCGATCACCTCAATGATGTCCCATTCAAACTTCACTGGAAGGGGCTTGAGGTCTGTTTATTTGCTGTCATAAATGACTATGAGGCCTTTCTGAAATAACCTTTGTCCCTCTAGGGACACTGAGGCAGGGCTCAGTTATGGACAAGTCCTTCTTTTGTCCTCCTCTTCTGTAACATGGGAGACCAAGTCTGGGCCCCTGGTTGTTAGAGAGCTGGGCAGGGAAAAGGGGGAAGATCATTCTAATCCTTCCTAGAATGTAGCTATGGCTTATCTCTTCGAAGAACCATCAGAATGGCATGCCCAGAACTCCCGGCCGGGTCCCCTTCCCTCAGCTCCAGCCCAGAGCAACCAGGTCCGTTTAGGAATCTCAGGGATTAAATATCAGAATCTAAAAGTCTGATGCGCGGGAGTAAGAACGGGTGAGAGACATTCTCTGTGTTGGTTTGTGCTTACTGTGGGCGCTGGTGACCTCAAGGTGATTTTATGTCATTGTAGAAGAAGGGCAGAGCTGTCGTTGACACGGTGACCCACAGAGAAATCATCTTTGTAGGGCACCCTGGGTAAGTGGCAAGCAACCGTGTCCAGCTCTGAGGGCACCGGTCACGCCGGGCTCCATCGAGCTGTCCCTGGGGCTATGGGACTCACAGTATGCACCCCTGTGCGCCGACTGGGAAGCTCTGAGGTAGTGGGAGGTCTACTTTCTTAAAAGGCACTTGTTCTTAAAGGGGGCGATTTTCCACCCCACCCCCGCCACCGGCCCAGGGGATATTGGGTAATATCTGGAAGGATTTGGGGCTGTCATAGTGGGAGGGGGTGGCACTGTGTGCTATGGGCATCTAATGGGTGAAGACCAGGGATGCTGCTAAACATCCTACCATGCACAGGAGAGCCCTCCCTGCAGCAAAGAATTATCTGGCCCCAAATGTCACTGGTGTAGCTGTTGAGAAACCCCCTTCGAAGTTGAAACTGAGTCTGACAGAAGGAGCTAGGCCAAGAAAGGGCAGTGTCCCTTGGTCTCAGGAGGTCCAGCTGTCAAGATCTCTTCAGAGGTTACTTACAGACCCAAACTGCTCTTCCTTTTCTCTCCTCTTTCTTTTTTTTTTTTTTTAAGGTTTTTTCCTCTTCTTTTTAAAATAACACCTGTCTTCCGTCAAATTTATAGATTATTTTGCCTACTTCAATAACTTGTTATTTTATTTTTTTCTTCTTGTGGATACTTCTTACTAGTCATCGGTGACTGAGAAGCTCAAAGCCAGGGCCCCCGAATGAAAAGTAGGCAACACCACACCCTAGAGTCATGGTCCCCAAAGATGGGGCTGACTTAGGGGGACACAGAGGTGCCTGATACCACCATGAAGAGGAGGGCTGTGTGTCTTTGGTGAACAGTCCCTTAAGTGCATCAGACATTGAGGAAAAACAACAACAACAACAACAACAAACCTTGAAAAAAGAAAGAAAAAACAAACAGCGCGTTTGGACAGGGCAGAGAATTGACTAGCGTGAGCCCAGGAAAACTGTCAGCAACAATCACCGTCAGCTAATCCCAGCCTCCTGTTAATCACCGTCTCCCTGGCACTCTGGGGTATTTATTCTAGTAAAGATTTAAGCCAGTTTGTTTTTAAGACGAGCCATTCTAATCCCCTGTATTTAACTTTATAACTCAATGTTGGTTACCAAGTTACTCGGAGAGCTGCCTGGAAAATCTCTTCCCCTCCCACAAACATGATTACCCTCTCTTAGCTTATTTTTCCTCAAGTCTCAAGGGTAGTGCCTGCAGGACAAGGGGTAAAGCCCCCCCCGAGAGGTGGGGGAGGGGGAGGAGGGGAGGAGCGGGAGGGAGACAGGAAGGGAAGGGAGGCCAGCGAAGGTCTGAGAAGCCGGCAGAAGGCAGAGCCAAAGCTTTGGCGTCTCTGCTCGTGCAAACCGGTCAAAAATTGGGTCATGGTCTAGAGTTGGGGGCTCTTATTTCTTTTTTATCGCGTGGTTGAAAGTCTCTCTTTCAAGAGCACAGAGAAGAAAACACAGAGGATACAAATGATCAAAGAGCCATATGCATGGGACTGGGGCAAGATGCCAAGCTCTGCTTTTAACGTCAAGTTCAGAGGGACTTCAGCGATTGCATTTCAAAGCGTGGTTATCAGGACCACAGACCCTGGTGGGTGCAGAGGAGCCCCCGTGGAACTCCTCCCCCCCACGCCCCTGCCTGCGACCCCCCCCACCAAGTCCCGCAGGGTAATCCCCTCCCTCCCACGTCCCCCCCAACCCCGGGTGTCCTTACTGGGAAGCTTCCCTGCTCTCCAGCTCCCTCACAGAGAGCCGGTCACATGGTGACCCAGTTGAGCCCAGGACAAATGCCAGCCCAGCAGCGTGTCCCTCTCCTCAGGGGCACAGCGCGTGGCCCCCGCGCCGTTCCGGCGGCCAGACGGCCGGGTAGCACCCCTCAGCCGATTCAGCCGCCCCGCCAACCTCACCCCTGGCTGGGGGCCACGCGGTCGGGGCCCCGGGGAGGGGGCGGAGGGACGAAAGTGGCAGCGTGAGGGGGGGGGAGAAGAAAGCATTCGAGCCTCCCCCAGAAAGTGCTGCCCACGCCTTGAGCCCGGGAGCAAAGCACCCCATCCCTCGGCACCCGTGCCCCCGCTACCCTCCCTGCCCTCGCAGCCCCGACGGCCCGGCCGCGGGGACCCGAGGGGATGCGCGGTACTCACGCTGCTGGGGTGGAGCACGGGCAGGGGCAGCAGCAGGAGCGGCACGCAGATGACGAGCAGCAGGTTTCTGGCCCCGAGGAGGCCCTTGAGCAGGCCCATGGTGGCCCTCGGCGCCCCCCTCCCGCCTCCCGCCGGCCGCCAGGGGCCTTCGCTCCTCACCACGCTCGGCTCGGGCCAGAAAGACTTCTGAAACCCTTCTCGGCTTCCAAGAGTCCTCCCTTGTCTTGGGGGCAGAAAAGGCAGGCAGTGACAGGTCCCGTGTGCACAAAAAGCCTGGGCTCCTTGCCTCCTGGTTTAGGTGGGATTGGGGAGCATTGTTTTACGCCCAGCAGAAAGGGACCGGGAGAGGAGGCTGAGCCGAGGCATAGTGGGTTGCCCCTTTGCTTGATTAGTAGTAGAGAAACTTCATTCTAGGGCTCCGCAGAAAGCCCCCCCCAGCCAATCAAAGGCACACCTCTGCTTCTGCTGGTTCGCCTTGGAGAAATCATATAAAGGCTTTACCCAGTTAAAAACACGAAGTGCATGGGCTGGTGCCCTCCATCATTTTTGCTCCCTCTGATGGTCTGTCTGGGGCGGACAGACCCCTTTCTCCTCTGCCTGTGCTTGCTGGACCCCCTTCCCTTAACCCAGGCCCCCAAGTTGGTCAGCGGCGGATGCAGACTTCAAACAGGGCTGGTCTTCTCTCCCAGGACCTGGCACCTGAACTCAGTTCAAATTTCTTTCCTTCAAATTGGTTTCCCACTTATAATTTGCTTTGAACCTGGGCCTCCAAAGCAGGAAAAAAAAAAAGAGAGAATCCCCAAGACTTTCCTTGCGGTCACCGGACAAAAGTCTTGCTGGAAGCCCACCTTAACTTTCCTTCACCTATGGGGAGCCGGACCCAGGCAGTGGCCCTGGCCCCGCCCATGCCTCAAAGCCAATCAGTACGTTGGAAAGATCGAGGCAGTATCTCTTCCAGAGGCAGCTCTGGATTGGTCCCAGCAGGGGCCTGCTGAGTCTGCAGAACCTAGGCAACTTGTAAAGCTTATTTTTGTTTCTCAAACATCCTAGGGGCTGGAGTGATGATCATCATCGTAAACATGATCCCACTTACGCAGAGCTTTCCCTGGGAGAGCACTTACGAACCTTGTCCTTAGGAAGATGTGTTTGGTGGCAGGGAGAAAATGAAATAATAATTCTGGAGAAATTTGCCCCCAGAGTGTACAATATTAAGCCCTTCGGACTTCCCTGATGACAAAGATCATTTGCTTCAGCATCCGAGTGAACACGAAGCACCTGGGTCAGCAGAAGGTGTTAGCCGATAAGAAAGACCACAGACCTTTAGGGAGAATGGGAAGGGTGGCTACTACCTCCCTGGAAAAGTCTAGATGCCGCTCTCATTTCAAAGGCCCTTGGAGCCCAGATGTCAGTGGTCTTTCTCGACTGGAGTAGGTGCTCAAATGCTCCTCTTTTACCAAAGAGGCTCTTTACCAAAAAAGAAGCAGAAAGCTTCCTTTGGCCGGTATGCAAGGAGGAAGGAGGTGGGAGCGCAGGGAAGTTGACAAGTTCAGGGTCAGGGCCTTAGCAGCTGTTGCACCCTGCAATTTCTGCTGCTTAGAGATCCGGAGAAGCTGTTAGCCTCTTTTCTCAGAAGGGACATGTGGATAAGGTTACCCATGTTTTTCTTGAATTCACAGAATGCAAGAATGGCATTCCAAGGTCTGCAGTTGGAAATGGTCCCCAGGCTAAACGCAAAGAGACTGGAGAAGTGACTCCAGAAAACCAGTTCTTCTTGACTTCCAAGGCAGGGGCAATTATGGACAGTCCAGGTTCCCTTCCAGGTTATCTTGCCACTGTAGGATAGGCTATGATGACCCATCTCTTTAAATGCATGTGAAAGACTGGCTGCCATGTTTGCTACATTCGGGCCTCCTTTTTGTGCTGATTTTGAAACTCAGAATGAACAAGACCACAGGTGTGATGTTTGGGTGGCAAATATTACCACCCAAAGGTAATAGGCTGGCAAATAATACCACCCATAGGCTGGAAAATAATAAACAGCTGCGGAACTCAACATCTACCATTCACCCCTAGACCATTTCAGATTCCTTAACAAAGATTCCATAACATAGATTCCATGGAGCCTAGTAAACTCGATCAGGACATTTTTATTACACCATAAGTGAATGATTGTTAAATAAAGTTAGGTAAGGTGAGCGACACAATTAAGACCAGTAGTTCTTCTTCGTGACTCTATCCGTTTTTTCAGATGAAGGAAACATTTTCCAGAATACTATGCTTGAGAAATAGAAGGCAGGTTCCACTTAGATGAGGTATCTAAAGTAGTCAAACTCTTAGTAACAGAAAGTAGAAAGGCAGGTGCCAGGCACTGGGGGTGGGGGGGTGGGGGCGGGGAGGGGAGTTGTTCCAGAGGTATCAATTTTGCAAGATGAAAAGTTCTAGAGATCTGTCATACCACAATATGGGTAGAGCTAACACTATTGTACTGTGCACTTAGACATTCAGATGGTAAATTTCACGTTGTGTTTTTTACCACAATAAAAAAAAAATGTAAGATGTTAAAATGGGTTAGGCGACTAAGGGGCGCCGTGTAAAGACATTTGACAAGCGTTCACCTGTGGAAATACCTTCTGACTGATTTATCACTGAGGCGATTCTTTTTTTAGATTCAGGGTGAGTTGACAGAGCAATGGAAGTTTCAGCACATAGATGTTTTTCCATGTCTCTTGAGTGACACCAGAAGTAGCCATGAGGGTGCCAACTCTAGAAGATGCTTCCAGAATTTTTAGATCCTAAAAGTCCCCAGCAGTATAGAAATGGCAGAATTAGTTACAGGCAAATTCCCTAAGTTACAGGCAAAGTTCCATGACAGACACCATGCCCTAGATTATTCTGTGTGTACATATGACAAAAATGTGACCCGGTTGTGATCGTGGTGTTACAGGGTGGTATTAATGAGGCAAAATGGGACAGTCCATTTCTGTCCAGTCTACTACTTTACTGTTCATTGAGCAAAGGGTCGGGTCTTGGGGTGGTGGTGGTGAGTGTTATATTTGACTTTGCATGTAAATGAAGTTATTATTATAAACTGTTCTTGTGGGTAAACAGTCAATTTGTATTCAGCCCAAAATAGTCGTTACTAGTGTCATCTAGTTAGTAAAAATGGAATTGTCATTTGTCTTTAAAAAGGTTATGCCCTTCTTGTTTCTATTTTTTTTCAGTCATTGACTGCCACATAAAATGGGCCCCGGTTTATGACTACACAGGTGCCTTTATTTTTTGCTGCTGGGTGAATGAACTACCATTTTATCACTGGTCCTGGGAACCATCCTCCCATTCATGGATCTTCTCCTCCTGGGAGCAGGCATGTATACCATAACATGGAAGACAGGGAGGGCCTAGAGGGTGGTCTTTCCACCCAGTGACTGGAAGAAAGCACTCAGATCCAACCTAAGGGGGGTGGAGCCCTGGGGTGGGATGCAAGACTCTGGGGCTGGGCTATTGCCCAATGTCGAAGGGTTGAGGCCTCTGCTCACCTCCTCCCCACCCCGCATCCAGGGAAAGTACAACTAGTGGAGGCCGACCATGAGGCTAATCTGCCTTTTGGGAAATCCCGACCTTGTACATTGACCTTTGTTTGAGTCAGACAGTGATACCCGAAGGGGGCGGAAAGACAGTGAGCATCAGAGTGCAGGCCGGCAGAGTTCAAGTGAGCAAAAGTCCGCCCAAAGAGACTGGGAGACGCCTCTAAGAAGTGGACACAAAGATAATCAGAACTGGGCCCAAAGCTAGAGCAGATGAGACACCAACTAAAATAAAGAGACCAGCTTAGTAACCATGTCAAAGAGAATACGTAATATTAGAAAGAGAAAAACTGAACAAAAAGCAGATATCAGAGATTGCATTTGAGGGAGGTAAGAGAGAAGTATAACCAGGGAATGAGAACCAGAGAGACGGACAGTTACTAATCTTCTGAGCCCAAGCACGTGAGGCTGCCAAGCTGTATTCTTCTCTGATGGTGAACACCTTCTTCCTCCACATACTACTGTTTCTCCAAGGTGATCATGCAGCTTGTGCAGCTCGGAAATCACTTATTCAAAGTTTTTAAGAAGTCCAGAGTAGCTTCAGGCATCATCAAATGACAACTGTTAAATACCCATTTCAGAATCGAATTTAGCCCGATAAGATCTCACTCATTCAACGATTAGACCTCTTGCAATGGTAGCGTCCAAAACCCAGCTGTCAACCCAGGAGAGCCAGAAAGATCTGTGAGCTGGTGGGGAGTCTGTCCTAGAGCCCAGGGCCTTCCTGCTAGCAGAGATCTTCATCTGCTAACTCATACTGAACCTAGAATTATAACAAGCCTAGCCGTCTTGCTCTTCAGGCGATAGCAGCTAAAAAAGAACGCATGGCAAAGGGCAGGTTCTGTTGGCAAGAAAGAAAAGTGCATCTCAAAGCCTCACCGTGAAGAAGGCGGCCGAAGAGCTCAGAGCACATGCAGAATTAGAAGAGCCTGGGGCCTCCCAGGATCGGGGCCAACAGACCAGCAGGTCCCTTAGGTCCTGCCGTCCTCCCTGTAATAGCTCGCACTTAGCTCAATGATCATGGGCATTTCAGAAGCAGTTAAAGCAATGTTAGAGGTTATTTTATCCAACTCCTTCATCGGGGTGTTTCAAAGATATTAAATAAAAGTCTAAGTTGTTTCGTATGTAGAGCTTAACAAGATACCAGGTCAATATTGCTCAAAGGAAAGTTTTGGCATTTGAAAGGGGAAATCCTGTCGTCTGAAAAATCATTTTTATTTGGAGCATCTCATTTTCTGGTGATGCTAAATGATTTTAAGCATTTGGCTAGACATGGCCTTTGGTGCCACCTCTTCATTAGGGTGATGAGGGTGACCCTCTCTGCATTAGCTTGCTTTTTCTGTTTGGAAGACAAGGCATGACTTTTGCAGCCTTTCTGTGGGCCCCCTTCATGTTTCTCCTCCATATTAGATCAGCTTTCAGAGAAGAAGAATCAAGACCCATAGATCATAAAATTACTGGTTTTCTAACTGACTCTTCTTGGCGACTTTTGGAAAAGGTGAGAAGTATATCTCTGATAACAATGTAGTTATTTGGCTATAGCTCTAGGTTGGGTTTTTTTGTTTGTTTGTTTGTTTTTGTTTGTTTTTAGTCTCTTACTGTAGAACCTTTGGAAAGATGTTCAATCAGCCTCACAGCCTGAGGTCTGTCCCCCGTCTTCCCGCCATGCCCAAACCTCTGTGTTTTCTCCTCTAGCTCTGTGCTCGCCCATGGGTGTTGGTGGCAGTCACTCGGTGTTGAAGCATGGCTGAGACTTCTACATGTCGCCAGGCAAATCATGGGGCCTTCGGAGGCATCTCGAAATTACCACTCTAGCCCTTTCTTCCAGCCCAGGTCACACTGTGACATGAATCAGACGAGCTTGTCAGGAATCTATAAGGGGCAAAGAACATGACGGTGTCCTTATTTTACCTCTGCTACTCTGAGTTGGTGGCATGTGCTTTGTTGCTGGGCTCTGTAAACGGAGTAGAGAAGGAAGAGTATTTGGATTACTGTGTGTGTCGGTCCCTGGTCCGTGGTCCTGGTGCCGGCCAGTCTCTCAGGGAGATACTCTGGGGCCTGAGGACCGCATCAAGTCGTGCTGCAGGGCCCGGAAGAGGCTACGGAGGGACTGGGCCCAGATGTCCTTCTGATGCCCTTGGGACAGGGCTGTGCGGTAGGCCGTGTAGGCCAGGGTCAGCGCTGTCCTTTCAAAGTCCTCTTTCTTGAGGATGCCAGGGTGGTTGGAGAGGCTGATACTCAGCCGGCGGATGTCTGGGATGCGCTTGGGGATCACGTGATTGCAGATAATGTGGAAGTCAGAGGCCTTCCTCAGGGAGGCGAGCTCCTCGTCCTTGATGGAGATCTGCAGGTCAGGGCTGATGTCAAGTTCAGCTAGCAGGAACTGGAGAGAGACACGGGATGTGGAAAGACATGAAGCATCCGGGCATTGCTGAGGACATCACTGTGTTCATTATCACATATGTTCATCTGGGGAGGCAGCTGCATCTCTAGTTCTGACTTTCCCACTAGCTGGATGAGTTACTTAACTTCTCTGAGCCTCATTTTCCTTCTCTGTGAGATGATTAGTGACAACACCACTTCACTGGGATATTGTGAGAAGTAAGTAAGACAAATATGGTGCCTGGTACAAAGCCACTATTTCAGGGACTGCTTACTGTTACTAGCGGCCTGGACCCGCACACTAGTTCCTGATCCCCCTCCCACCCACCCACCAAAGACCTTCTAGAGCACGAACTGACTATTTTGGGTAACTTAAAATCAGAAGCTGAATTCGAAGGATGCAGAGAATTGTGCCAGGAATTAAGTGGGATACAGAGATTTGTCCTCATTCCTCACCTGTTCTTTAAGAGTAGCATGGAGTCGGCCATGTGTATCCCCTGCTCTGTGCTGGCCTCATCCCAGCAACGTCATAAATACTTCTTGGACTTCAAATTCTAACTTTCCTCTCCGTCTCCGATTCCTCCTGGCTCTAATCCATCCTCCATGCTACTGTCTGCTATCTTTCCAGAATAGATCTGTTCATGTGACTCCCAAGTTCAAGACTTGGCAAAGTTTGTCCCCCGTGGTGGGATTTGAAATCCCTTCCCCTTCCCCCAGCTCAGCTGCTTGGCTGCAGTATGCTGTCTCTTGGCCAGAGAGTTCTGGGATGTGGAGGGTGTGAGAGGATATCAAGGCAGGAGGGGAGTTTGGAGATCATCGTAGTGCCTCATTTAACAGTGGAGGAGATTCAGGCCCAGAGAGCAATGCGGCTGACACGCGGTCACCCAGCTGATGGGGCCAGAACCAGAACGACAGCTCAGATCTTGAACTGGGAGTTTTATCACTGAACCAGTCCAAGCAGCCTTGGGGAATTTACCTGTGGCTTGGAGGATGAGTAAGGTCTTAGGGGCCCAGGTGAGAGAGGCAGAGGAAGAGAGCTTCGGGGTGGCCCCAGCCCATCAGAAATGGAGCTGCCCCAGCATGCAGTTCCTGAGACACCTGGCGTGGCATTGCCCGAGCACTCCTGACCAGTCCTGCCTCAAAACCTCTGCTTGGGAATGTTGCCCAACTCTGCTGCTCAGGTGCTGGCGGTGGCACCTCGGGGCCAAACAGAAATCTCTAATTTTGCCTTGACTGAACTCCCGATGCCATCCTTCCATGTCATGGTGTGTGGGAAAGGGGAGGAGATACGAGGAGGACCTGGCTCTGGGACAGGCAGGATGGGATGAATCTGCAAAGTAGTCTAGACCAGTCCCTCTGGCGCTTAGGCCCCTTCTCCAAAAAACATAGAGAAGGTGCAATGCCTTTTGCGTGACTTGAATTGACCACTTTCCCTTCTGCCTACCTCATAGAGCAGTTCAACTTCCTCCAGGGAGTTCTGCAGGACGGGGTTCAAGGGCATTGATGAGGATCTCTTTGGCCGATGGGCAGCAGGAAACAGCACGGCTGCAAGAAACCAGAGTTAGCTCGAGGGGCTGCGCTGTGCACATGGCCTGGAGGCCGGCCAGCCAGTCCAGAGAGTGAGTGACTCCAGGTGGTGGTAGACGTGAAGCGGCGAGAGGTGACAGATGACTCTGGTGTGTCCCCGAGAACGCCCAGGCATGTCAGACGTTACTATTTCAGACCAGCGATTTCAAACCTGGCTGCTTATCAGAATCATCCCAGAAAGTTTTGAAAAATATGTATGTCTAGGGGTATGTATACCCTGAGAATTTACATAAAACAAAATAAAACAGAAATGAGCAAACTGATAGCCCCCCCCTCGCCCCAATTCAATAGATGAGTTCTCTAATAATACTGTTCCCTTTATCAATAGGAGGGGCTGGTTTATATTTATTGACAACCCTTTTAATGAGAGGATCAGACTTCTGGCTAGTCCCCGGCCATTTGAGATATAGCTGCCAAGAATCTGAATACAGGTGACAAAGTGCAGGAAAGGAGCTGCCACAAGACCCTGATGCTTGGCCCTAGGGGTGTGGGGAGCCAAGCTCAGCGCTTCCCCCAAGGGCTGGCTGACTTAGAGATGCATTTGGTATGAAGTCAATGACTTGTCAGTGTTATTCCTTGGTGACTGCATTTAGAAGTTGTAGCTGGAGGAAGATGGATGAGCTGCTAGAGGTAGAGGGGGTAGCAGAATTGGGAACTGACAGAGGACAGGTGAAGGAGGAGACCAACTATTACAGAGTATGGGACTAATCAGGACAAATTGCCGTTCTCCAGGATCGTGTTGGGTAGGAGCAGACAGCCCCGTTCGCCCCAGCCCCACCTTGTAGCAGGGCACTGTGCAGAAGGGATTTGTCCCCCTGCTGCCGGCTGATAAAAAAAGGTGCATCTTCTTCAAGACACTTGAATGTGATCTGCCAGAAGCCTGGGCAGCTAACTGTAAAAATCCAAGAGACTTGGAGGTAAGTAGTGCCCCCTGAAGTTGTGTGAACCACAAGTTGTACAACCATACACAACAGTTCTCCTTCTTGATAATGGTGCCCTTGGAACCACCAAGAAAGAGTCTAGTGATGTCCAGTGTACTCTGGTTAAAGAAGGCAGGGCACTGCCTAAGCATTTTAGAAGGTTTTCAATCGGAAGTGATACAAATGAAACATCTTCAGTGTAAAGGACATTTCCTGAAAAGCTCACTGGTGGGCATCTCCTACTTCCTGGAAAAAGCTGGTTGGATGTTGTATTGCTATAATACTGTTTACTCTGTAACTCATTTATTATCTATACCACAGGTTCCTCCCGGGCTGGGATAAATATGGTTCTGTGTTTCTCTACCCCCAGCAGAGCCTGGCAGGCTGACCAAGTCCCTGCACTGAAGGAAGCCTTGATGGGCAGAGTGACCAACTCTGCTTCCCCAGAGCATTTCAGGGGAAGGAGCCTATGAATTGCTGAGCAATAGTTCCTAGCCCAGCAGTTTAACAAAATTTGTTTTCTTTGTCAGAAAAGTGCCAACTTCCCACAGAATCATAGATTTTAGGGCTTGAGAAGGCCTTGGACTCTGTTCATTCATTGCCTCTGCCTACAGGATCAGGTGGAGGGAGGCATCCCCGGCTCCACTGATTTGCCACCTTGACCCAAGGGGCTGATGCATGGGTCCCAGCAGCAGAGGTTCTGATTTAATTGAGCGGGGTGCACATGGGACAGGAAGAGTTTTTTTTCAAAGCTTCCTAGGCTTCTTATGGCAGCTTCTAATGGCAGCCAAGGTTGAGAATCAGAGGGTGCTTGACCTGCTTGACCTGACGTTGTGGAGAAGGAGCTGCCCTGGCCATATGGCCACTCTTAGGGTAACCCAGCAGTTGTCACCCTTGACCGGACATCTGGATCACCTGGGAGTTTGGAAAATCCCAAATGCCCAAGGCCAGCTCCCAGGCCAATTCATGGGCCTCTCCCTGGGGTGGATGTAGGCAATGGGATTTTTTTACAGCTTCCAGGTCACTACACTTCCACCACTACAGTGGGCAGGCATTGGGTTATCCAGACCCACAGCCAAGCAGCGGGTGCCCTGCTATGAGGCAAACCCCACTCCCATCTGAGGGGGTCATCTGAAGAGACCAGGGCCATCATGTTCTCGGAGACAAACGAGTAGAGGCACAAAGAGTGTGCGTACTTTGACTCTAATTTCTCTTTGGTGGGAGATAACACCAGGATCAAACCTGGTTCTAGACCGAGATGTGACCTGCTTCTTTCTGTGTGCCCTTTTTCTCTTCTTACCATGAAAGGGTGGATGAAATCCCATTCTCAGGATAGGATCCGAGACCACCTTTACTTCTTTAGTTCTTGTCCCCGGATTCCATTCTTATTGTGAAATTACAGGTATTGTTCCCTTAAAAAAATTCACACCCCAGTAGGTGAAGGGGATAGGAGGGAATGAATGCCCTGGGCAAGGAGCCCTTTCTGCTTCCTGTCTTCTCAGACTTGGGATGGCTGCCTTCCCGAAAGTTCTTCATAGCTGAACTGTCTTCCTGTGAACACCAACACTCCTTTAACACACACACCCCAAGTGGACCCTGAGTTCTCAAAGAATGGGGAAGAAAATACTTCTGGATTCAAAGCTCAGCTTAATCATGAAAACACTGTTGTTTCCAAGAGCCCTTGTTCTGATTCTTTTTTAAAAATGATAACACAGTTTGGGGAAGATCGTTAGAAATAGCTTCAGCCTCTAGACCAGGAGACTGATCATTGCCCCAGAAAGTGTATGTGTGGGGGGCACAGAAATCTGAAAGATGGACAACCTCCCCCCTTGTTCTCCTGCTCACATGCTTCCACCACCTTCTATCGGAGCCCCGCCCGTTGCTGGGGCTGCTTGGATGATGTGTCCGGCAGGTGCTTTTCTACTGCCCTGGATGTGGAAACGCAGCCGTCCCCGGGCCAGACATCTGAGAGGCCGGGGTCTGACTCTCTGGAAAGAAAGTGAGGCCTAGAGAGGGATAGATTTCACCTTTGCAGAGATGCTGGAGGGGGGCGCGGTGGGGGTGGGGCGAGAAATAAGCTATGTCTGGTCCTTGGCAAAACATTTGGATAAGAGGTTAAATATACAGTCACTCCCGACGTTCTTGTCTGCGACAGGGGAAGGCTGGACTCTGCCAGAAACGCAAATGGCCCACGTGAGAGCTGACCAGCTCCCAGAGGCATGTATGAGCGAAGCTTTAAGCTAGACCTTCTCCTGCGTGGTTAGACACACCGCCCTGCTCCCCCAGGAGGCCTTTCCCTGCAACCCCACTGGCCACCGGTGTTCTTTCTCCAGCTCCGTATGCCTCTGCGTCCTGTCTCCACATTTCCCATCTTGCTGTCTGTCACCCTGAAAGCATTTGTCAGGGTGGCCGGCTCCTGGGAACGAGGGAGGAAGTTTACGCTCCCCCCACTTGACCTCGATGTCTGCATAACGCTGGGCTTCAAGGGAAGGCTCAGTATATACGTGGGGATGATTTTAAAGATGAGCCAGGGATTCTGGGGGCATCTGGGTGGCTCAGTGGGTTAAGCGTCTGCCTTTGGCTCAGGTCATGATCTCAGGCTCCTGGGATCAAGCCCCACATCGGGCTCTTTGCTCAGCAGGGAGCCTGCTTCTCCCTCTCCCTCCACTGCTCCCCCTGCTTGTGCTCTCTCTCTCTGTCAAATAAATGAATAAAATCTTAAGAAAAAAACTTAAATAGAAATAAAGATGAGCCAGGGATTTTTAAAAAGCCTCACCAAACCAAAACAGCCGTGCAGACTCTTCAGGCTTTGCTCAGGTTTTCCTGTCCTGCCAGCTCATCGCCTGCCTTGATGGAGGTCATCATAAGCTTGGCTGCCTGCTCATCTGGGGCAGCATGGCCTCGACCAGGCTGATGCGAGGGAGACCTGAGGAGTCCCCACTGGATGGCCATTAGCGACGGCACCTTTGCAGAGAGAGGGGACAGCGGGGACAGTGTGGGAGGCCAGAGACAGGCAGAAGGACCCCACCAGAGCATGGAGCCTCAAGCAAGAAGGCTACTGGGACAGGTTTGTCGAAATCACTGACTTCATGTGCCTCTTGCTTGATGTAAAACTGGGCCAATTTGGTTTCTTCTTTTCCTCTCAATACTCTGCAGCCAGCCTGCCCTCCAGCCATTTCTTCAGGATGTGAATGTGCCCATGAGGACCACTCAGTGTGACCAGGGGACATCGGAGGCTTCCATGTCTCCTAGCACAAAGGTCTGCTGCAAGGCTGGTCTCGGGGCAGGGAGACCGTGAGCTTCTTCCCTCCTCCCTGACTCCCCGGACATATGAGCCTTGGGGGGGGGGGGGACATTGAGGGTCTATGATATATCGGACAGACCAGCATAGAACAAAGGATTTGCTTGCTAAAGGTCATGCATGTTCACTGATCCAGTCCAGGAACTGGATCCAGAGATTCGAGAGTCTGTATTATGGCATGTTCTGTCTATATTGTCTGCTGAGAGACGCGTTTGGACCGCAGACCAAAGCTGTTAAAATGTGAAGCTCAGATACCGTAACAGCACATGAGCCCACTGTGTGCTAGTCGACGTGCTCGTGCATTCCATACGCACCTTGTGAGGTGAGTACTAACATGCCATTTCACAGATGAAGAAACGTGGAGGTCAAGAAACTTGCCCTAGGCCACCCAATTTGTTTGCCATAGGACTGAGATTAAATCCAGACCTCGCAGGCTCCCGAACCCTATCTCACCGATAGGGAGAACAATGCTATCTTTTTGTAGGTGTATCGCCCCGAACACTGGGCTCAGGAAAGATAGTGCAGTTAATTATGAATGAATGCATTTGGTATAAGACATATTCTGAAATGAATCACACATAATTTTTTCTTTTTTTAGAGAGAAAGAGTGTGCGTGATTGGGGGAGGGACAGAGGAAGAGGGAGAGAGAGAATTTTAAGCAGGCTCCACGCCCGGCGCAGAACCCAATGCAGGGCTCGATCTCATGACCCCGAGATCATGACCTGAGCTGAACTCAA